GACCGCACGAAGGAGATGTGGTAAGGGTGAGGGACTGCCTTGCCTGTAGAGGGAGGGGGAGGAGGGAGGGGGCAGGAGTTTCTCAGCTTACAGACTGGCCTCTGCAGACCTGTCCTCAGTCAGTAAAGTGGGCATATGCCCACCAGGTCCCCATCCGTTTTCTGAAGAGGATGGCATACCCAGACTAGAACTCTGGCCAGTGTTCTGGTAAAACAGCCATCAGAGACCAGAAGAAATGTGAGTGGTGGTGGCTAGGGGCAGGATGGAGGAGGGGGCAATTTTGTTCAAAGCCAGAGACACATTGGGACAAAACCAGGCACAAGGTGGCAGCACAGCGCCACACCACACACCAGCCACAACAGACACTCACCTCTCGAAGGTGAAGCGCATGGCTACCAGAACCAGTGCCACGGGCAGGGCCGCCAGCATGTCCTGGGGGTGGGCATAGACCAGGCCATCCCTGTCCTCCAGTTCAGCCCATGAGGTATTGGGTGGTAGCCAGAACCTGTCCTGCCACAGCCACTCTTTCAGACTGGACCACATCCTGTGGACAGACGGTCCGGTTAAGGGCGAGCTGAGAATGCAGGATGGGTGAAGCTGGAAGGCCTATCACCCGGCCCTCATTCCCCCAGCGCCTGGCAACCTGGAGTTTATTACAGCCGGTGTTAAGGATACACTTGGTCTGTGTGTCTTCAGGCAAATGACTCGATCTCTCTGAACTTCAAGCTCATCTGTAAAACAGGGACAGTAATACCCACCTCTTAGCTCAGCCTGGTTAGGTACACAAAGTGCTTGGCCTGACGCCTACTGACCTTTAACACCACAGCTTATGACAGCAGTTATTATTCTGTACTTTACAGACAAGAAAATAATGGCCAGAAGTCAAGGGAGTGGCGGAGTAGGGTCGTGATCTCAAGCTCTCAAATGTCCAGGAAGGTTTCTTGCCATTGTGGGAAGGTGCCTTGGATGCACCCCAAAGACCAAGAGTTTAAAGAAATCTATAATTCCCTCCCTAGCTATCCTTCCCAATGTGGACCCCACGAGGTGCGAATGTCAGTTGTCTCACTCACTACCCCAAATCATGGGCGACAGCTGGGCAAGAGAACCAACAACAAGACCGAGCTTCCTGGAAAATGGAGCAGTAACTAAGGTGAGCCAGCTTTCCACCAAGAGCTATCAGGGAGGGGACCAGCCCCCATCTGCAGAGCCTAGCCATCTTGAGTAGCCCACAGTTTCTCCCTTTCTCAAGATCTTAAGACAAGTGCCCAGACCCTCACACAGATCCCACTTGGAATGTTTGTTCACTCATTTGTTCATCTGTCCGTCCATTCATCCATCTGTCTGTCCATCCATCTATCCATCCATTCGTTTGGTTCATCCACCCATCCATCCATCCATCCATCCATCCATCCATCCATCCATCCATCCATCCATCTGTCCATCCACCCATCCATCTACCTATCCATCCACTTGTTTGGTTCATCAATCTACCTATCCACCCACCCATAAGATGTTCTTTGATTGACTTGTACATGCCAGCTTGGATACAGAGGGGAACATTCAGGATGTTCTTAAATGTTTGAGGACAAAGTAGACACATTCCTGTCTCCATGATGCTCCCAGCTAAGCAGGGGAGGCAGCCAATATGCAAATAAATAGATTAATAAGTAAATGAAATAACACGGTGTGATGGGGTCTGATAGAAAATAAACAGGGTGGAATTGATTTTAAATGAGGTGACCAAGGAAGGTCTCTAAGGAGAAACCATCTGAACTGGGAGATCCAGAGATAAGGAGGGCCTGCGTTTATGCAGAGAGTAGTGGTTGTACAGAGGGGCTTTCCAGAGAAATAAGCAGCATGTGCAAAGGCCCTGAAGCAGGATTCAGCTAGGAGTGCTGAAGGATTAGTAAGGAGGCCTGTGTGGCCGGAGCAGAGTAAGTGAGGGGGAGAGAAGGGGGTGAGAGCAGGGAGGGAACTGGGCAGATCATGTAGGGCCTGTGGGCTGTGGGAAAGAACTTAGATGATTTCCCAGCAGAGAAATTAAAAGAATTTACAGTGGCCTGTGTGGCTCAGCTGGCTGGGTGTTGCCCCATGCACTGAAAAGTTGCTGGCTCCATTCCCGGTCAGGATACGTGCCCAAGTCGCAGCTCAATCCCCAGCAGGGGGCATGCAGGAGGCAGCTGATCTATGGTTGGCTCTCACATCAATGTTTCTCTTTCTCTCTATCCCTTCCTCTCTAGAAATCAATAGGAAAATTTTTTTTTACAGTGAACACCTATATATCTACCACTAGATCCCGCCAGTCATAGTTTGCTTCATCACACACCTGCCCATCCGTCCCTTTACCCACCCACCAGTCCGTCTGATTTTCCTGGATGCATTCCAAAAGCAGCAGCAGACACAAAAGCAACATTACCCCTAAATATTTCAGTATGCAAATCATAACTAGGGCTCAATATTTGCTTATGGGGTTTTTTTTTCTTTCAAGATAAATTTTACTAGAGCAAAATGCATCAATCTTAAGTGCAGAGTCGCTCAGTTTTGGCAAATGCATGTGCCCATGTAACCCAACCTCCTACCATAAACGTTCTCGTTTTTCCACAAAATTCTCTTGTGCCCTTTCCAGTCAATCTCCATCTCTGCCGTTCAAAGGTCATCTCTGTTCCATTTTTTTTTTTCCATCTGCACTGGCGTGGGGGTGTCTGTCAGATGGGTGAGAGGGCCCCTGAGGAGGAGGAGGCTCTTTTATCTGTTCTAGAACTTCACATAAATGGAACCACAGGCTGGTCTTTGTGTCTGGCTGCTTTCACTCTGCCATGTTTTTGAGACCCATCCATGTTGTTGCATTTACAGTAGCAGTTTTCCTTTTTTACACGAAACTGCTGGTACCACAGGCATATAACACAACTGGTTACCATCTGTTTGTTGAGGGGCAAACAGGATGCTTCCAGTTGGGGTAGCTATGAACAAAGCTGTCATGAACAGTCACATCCTAGTCTTGTGTGAATAGAAGTTTGCATGTCTCCTGGGTCAGTCCAAGGAACGGAACTGCTGGGTCATAGGACAGTCACGTGTTTAACTTTATAAGCAATTGCCAAACTGTTTTCCAGGTGGCTGCACCATTTTACACTCCTGCTTGTGGAGTTGGGGGGGTTCTGTGACTCTTGGTTATATTAAGGCCAGATGGCAAGCCATGGGCTGTTGGTTGCCATGCAGGAAGTGGCCTAGAGGAGGCCAGAAGGGGGTGCTGTGTGCTGTCCAGATGAGGTAAGTGGGTGGATATTTCCAGAGACATTTTGGGGGCAGAGCCCCCAAGAGTTGAACACCCTCAAGAAAGGAACCAAATAAATCTCACTGGGCTAATATCAAGATGTTCGCAAGGCTGTGATCCTTCTAGAAGTTCCATGGGAGAATGTGTTTTTCTGCCTTTTTCAACTTCTAGAGGTACCTGCATTCCTTGGCTCATGGCTCCTTCCTCTACCTTCAAAGCCAGAAGGGTAATATCTTCAAATCTCTCTCTGATCCTCCTGCCTCGCTCTTATAAGGACCCCTGAGACTACGTTGTGCCCCATAGGTAATCCAGGGTCATCTCCCATCTCAAGGTTAGCTTGTTAGCAACCTTAGTTCCTTCTGCAAACTCAGTTCCCCTTTGCCAGGCAAGGTAACATAGTCCCAGGTCCTGGGATTAGAACATGGACATCTTTAAGGGGCATTGTTCTGCCTGACACATTGCCGGCCATCAGGAGAGTGGTTTCTCTTAGGGACAGGTAATGACCAGAGGGGCCATGAGGGGTTGCAGAGGGCTGGAAGGTTCAGTCTCCTGATCCAGGTGTTATTCTGGTTGAAAAAATCCACTGAGTTGTGTATGTATGATGTGGGCCCTTTTCTCTGTGCAAATGAAAACATTTGTATTTAAAAAGTCTACAATTCTGATTTTAGGTCTGACATGTGGGTTTTCTGCCCACACCAGCATGCAATTCTCTCACACCACCTGGGTGTCCTACAAGTCAGCTCAATTCTGACACTATGTGGAGACACTGATGTCAGATCCTACAGGTTAAGGACTCTGTCCTACAAGACTGCCCCTGCCCCAACTTCACCTGGGCTTCTGCCATACAATGGGCTGCAAACCAGAGTTGCCACCATCTCCTTCTCAGGTTTGATGTATTTGCTAGAGTGGCTCACAGAAATCAGAGAAATGCTACTACTAGATGACTGGTTTGTTATAAAGGATATAGCTCAGAACAGCTAGATGGAAGACATGCATAGGGCCTGTATAGCAAAAGGGCCCAGAGCACCTATGCCCTTTCCAGGCACCACTCTCCCCAAATCTCCATGTATTCACAGCCTGGAAACTCTCTGAAGACACAGCCTGTCTTATTTGTTTTTTTATGGAGTCTTCACTACATAGGCACGATTGATTAACTCATTAGCTATTAGTGATTGATTCAACCTCCAGCCCCATGTTCTTCCCCCACCCAAGGGCACCCAGATGGGCGTCCACCAAAGCCATGGTGCTTGCAAGTCTCAATGAGCTTCAGGGACAAGGGAGAACACACAAGAACAATGGCATCTCATAATCTCAGGCCTCTGCGGATGTATCCAGCCTCAAAGCCCACCATTCATTGCCTGACACTCTGCTCCCATCACACTGTACATTTTCACACACCCAGCCTTTACAAATGCTGTCCTCTGCCTGGAATGCCCATATAATATTTATTGCCCAGTTCTGGGTGCTGAGGACACAAAATGGTGGGGAGAGAGGGCAAGGTCTCTGCCCTCACAGGTTGTCTGTTCAGTTGTCACTTCCTCCTGGAGGCTCCTCCAGACTGCCCCAAACTTAGATCCACTTAAAGCACCTCCCCTAGCCCTGCCTGGCTCACTGTGGTGTTGGGAGCTAGCCAGGTAGTCTTTTTAGAGGTGATGAGGGGGAAGGAAGGGTACATAACCAGTCTCAAACCCCAGTCCCCTCAGGTGAAGCAGGCCCAGCCCTTTCTTGCCCCCAAGTCACTTTGGAAAAGCACTTTCCAAACTAGAGAGCCTTCCAAGGGTGCTTCAGACTGACATACCCTACCCTGACTGCAGAGGTCTTGGCCCTGGAAACCCTACCTCTCTCTAGCACCAATGACTGTCCCCCCCATTCCCTCCATGCTCTTGATAAAGAAAAGACACTGGTTTGGCATGAGAACAGGACCTGGAGCCCAGTAAGCTGGCTGAGTTCCAGCTCCAATGCTCCTAGTCCTGGGGCCTCAATTTCTTCACCCACCTTTGGTGGGACAGGTGCCTGGCACACAGGGTGGCTCAGGGGTGGCCGTAAATGAGCATCCATAGCCAGCAAGGCCCAAACTTCTCTTTCACCTCCTGATTCCCCGCCAGATGCCCTCTTCTCAAGGGACGGGATGAAATGGGGTTCTGGGTGGCACTCCTCCTCAGGCTTCATTTTTTTCTCTTTTGGACACCAGCCCCTCCACTATTCCCTGTGACACTCTGCCTCCTTGGGCATCGGCTGCCCCGTCTGAGTCACGTCTCCTGCTTTACCACACCCCCTGCATGCTGGTGTTGCAACACACTGGATTCCTGTCTCACCCATTTACCAGTCATGCCAGCTGGGGCTGCTGACCTGGCTGCTCTGTGCCTCCGTTTCCTCATCTATAAAGTGGAGTAACAATAGGCCCTTTCACAGGGGGTGGCTGGAATGACACCACGGGAGAAGTGGGCATGAGGTAAAGTTGAGTTACTTATTGCCAGCAGGAGAGAGGAGAGGGGCGGGCTGGAGAACATTCTGGAAAAGAGAGGTGGGGGCCTGAGGCAAGTTCTGGATGGTTCTTTCAGAACAGCCCCTGGCCTCTGCAAAGGCACCTTACCTTAAAGCTATAGCTAATGAACTCAGACTGGGCTCAGCCAGGGCCACAGAGGGGCCATTTGGAGAGTGACCACACGGGTGGCTGGGCCAGCCTGAGCCTCGTCCCCACCGCTGCCATCCTGCCCACCCCGGGTCTCAGTCTGGCTTCGTCTTGAAGCCTCTTTGGCCTTACTCCCAGCCCTGCCTCTGCCACCTGGAGCCAGACTCTGATAATCCTTTTTAGTGGCTAAAAATATCTCCAGATTGGGGGACAGAGAGATTAGGGTTTGTGCTGATGTGAGGAGGGGGCAGGAAAGCAGAAGATCCCTGGCCTGCCTCGTGGGTCTGGAAGAGCTTGCCTGGTCCCTATTACTCCCCTGAACTCTCAAATGCCCCAGCAGAGTAGGACTGCACACAGGTTTGTTTTATTTTTAATCTGGCTGGAAACACAGGACTGCCCTGAGTTGCCTAATTAAAATAGGAAATCAATTCAGACACCACATGTCCAGGTCCA